CCCCCCCTGCGGGGTCCAGGCTGTCTCTGCGGCAGCGCAGGGGGAGCAGTGGGAGAGCCGGTGGGTGTCAGTAGCTGCCACAGACCTTAGAGACCTCGGTGAAGGAGAGAAGCAGCTGTGGTGCCTTCTCCCCTGAGCAACCTCAGTAACTTTATTAAGGACTTGCCATGTAACGGCGATGTTTATTTCTCTCTCCAGCACACCCTGTAAGCCACCTTGGGAAAACTGGTTGCTGACCCTGGGTGGCTGCAGAGGAAGCCTTCGGCTGCACTGTCTGCGAGATGGACCTACTGCTGCCTCCGCTCGCCGGCAAACGCAGCTGAAAACCCACAGAACCACCCCGAGAAAAATCCACGCTGGTGGGTTTTGGGCAGAATTTCAAATCGGAAAGAGTCAGCGTGAGGTACAGCCACCCCCCAGAGAGGATTTCGCCTGCCCTCCTCTGAATTCACTTCTCAACTCAGCCCAGCGGAGTGTGTGACAGCTGCTGCTGAGAGCCCCAGTTCATGCTTTAAATGACAGCCTCTCATCAACTGACTCGTCTAAGGGAAAAGCAGGATCACAGTTGCGTTAAGAGTTTTCTCTTCTGAAGGATATTGGGGACAAAATTTGTGTTGTCTGTTTGGGGGATAAGCCTTACAATTTTGTCTGACGTATACCAGGCCTTGGGATTTACCCCATAATTACTCCGTTAAATCAATAATTTATTTGTGAACTGTCACTTTTGGTTTTGAAAAATAACCCAGTCTTTATTTAACAGGTAAATATGCCAAAAGCTTCAAATATGGACTATAAGCTTACATTTAGACACTTCAATATATCCACCAACGCAAACAACTGAACTGACTCAACACTCCTCTGCAGCTGCTGTTACTGCTCCTGCCACCATTCCTACTGGAAAATTATCTGAGTTTAGTACACACGCTCTAGAATTACTTTTTTCATTTTGTGCTTTGGAAAAATACCAATTTGCAATGGAAAAACTCAACAGAATAACTGGAAAGTATTTAGTCTCAGAGCAAATCAGCACCACGCTGCTGTAACTGGAACTTTTACTCATTTGTGAAAGATCTGGTCCTGAATTCTTGAGTTGTGTAATTCCCCTGTAAATGCTTAGGGTAATATGGATGGATTTCTTCCTTCACTCATTTTCTGTCTTGGAAAAATGAAATAAACAAGCAGTACCTTTGTATGCAGAATTTTCAGTGGTGTTTTTTTTAATTGAAGCATTAAACAAGATTAACTCGCTGCTTAAATGACTGAAATATTTTCTTTCATTCATATTAAATATTTGGCTGTCTTTTCTTCACAAAAAGAACAAGTTACATTTAGCTAAACTGGCTTAAAATGATGTTTAGAAAGCAAGAGTAATTGAATTTTCAGAAGCTGATAAATAATTTTGATTCCTGAGAGCTGCTTTTCATTAAATGAGCTGCCTTCTCAGTAGGTGATTAAAGATTTTAGGACGTCAGCAGTTCTGTCACTTCAACAGTAATAGGGAGCGCTCACCTTTTTGAAAACCATTGCAGATACCAGTTCTGAACACCGATTTCATTGACTGACTGTGGCTTAAATTTGAAAATGTGGTTGATTATT